ACTCATCCTAAATCCACTTTACAGAACGGTTAAAACAAGACTGTTAAAATCTATTTCGTGCCCATAGGCCAGACAAGGTCAGATCTAAGTACGTGTCTACAGTGACATTGCAGGTTCAGCTTTGTGCTCTATAAAGTTCCAGTTCTTCTTTCTGGCACTTGCTTCGCCTTCACCGACCGCCCCAGCTTGGTTGTTTGTTTTTCATATTGCTAATGCCTTGCGCTACCCACTCATGCAGCATACCAAAGCACAACGCTAAATAGAATAGATTCTGCAGCCCCTGACACGTTTAAATACTTATCGTACCTTTATCACACAGCGGGAGAAAACTGTTAATGTGACAAGAGCATGATTTGTTTGTATGACTTTTTTTTTCGAGAAAAAGCGTTACGGAGGAACAAAGTACACAGCTTTGTATGTTTTCTAATATTAGCAAAAAGGGACCCAGTGACCCTGGTCTTGCAAACAAAACCATAAAACAGACCTGGTGATAACTGTTGTGCAATGAAAAGTAGAGCCAACGAGGAAAAAAACAAAAAAACTTCTAACATTATATTATGTACCTTGAAAACATAAAAATTAATAGTGATGTATAACTTCATGAAATGATACATTATAAAGTAGAGACCGAGAAAGCTGGACACCATATTGTGACGAGGAGTGGGATGTCAACAGACGAATAGGGCAATGGTGACAGGTGATCATGATTACAGTTTGTTGCCGTTTCTATGAACTCTTTAAACCCCATCGGGCGCTGGGAACTTCCGGCGGTAAAAACCCTGTTCCCCATCAGACACTGGGGGCGTCCAATACCAGTGACAACTGTTTCGTTTTATTTAGAGCTGGTTTTTGCTTGTTTTTCGGAATTATTCCCGAACCAAGTTTTTTTTAGTAATGACTAATCATTTGTTTTTCGCCATTTAGACGTTGGAGGCAAACGTTTTGGGTTATAGTGAGACATAGTGCACCAGGTTAAGGTGACTGTAGAAAAAAAACTCCGGGAAAAAAACGTTGAAAAAACCCCTCAGAGTTTAAAAAGTTAATCCAGTCTGGACTTCCTTAATTTAAATCTCTGCAGGACATAGGTCTCTAAAACGCCAGATGCACGGCATTAGCTGAAACAGTTATCAGTATTCTACGCCTTCATCAACACCTTTTAGTTCATTAAAGAGACGGGCTACATTGACCCTTTCTGTCACTTCCAACTCAGATTGAAGGTGATGCAGGATCCCAACAAACAGACGGAAATACTCCATTAAATAACTTCCCCACTCAGGTTTCGAACTAACATCTTCTCAAAGGACCAAACCGTTACACCACAGACGCGGGTCACCTGTCTATCTATCTATCTATCTATCTATCTATCTATCTATCTATCTATCTATCTATCTATCTATCTATCTATCTATCTATCTATCTATCTAT